GGTAGTTATTCATGGTGAGGACGGACAACCACAGTTAGCTATTGTGAATCAAGCAGGTAAGTGTGAAGTGTATAATTTTTGGCTATGGTATTGGCGATTGTCTTTCTCGAAAATCAGCAACTGTTTGGCGTTGCAAACGCAATAGTTTCCCTTGCAAATGCGTATAAACGTCGCACCGAGCTAAAGTTAAATATGCGTCAGGTCAAGATACTATTCCTGGACAAAAGACGTTCTCAAACTTCCTTTCAAACACGGCTTTATATTCAGGTAATTATCAGACTTCTCCCACGACTTGCGGAGGCAAAACAAGGTCTGGATTTTCTGGGCCTGCAGAAGTATGGATGGGATGTAACTTTGATACCTGATCTCGTAGTTGCGTATTTGATTAAATTTGCAGAAAACCATGGTTACTATGATCGTGATTTATCTGTTTTCTTCACTCCTGTCAGATTTGATTGACCCAAGTGGTTCTAGAATGATGTTGCAATCAGAAGAGGATGAAGCGAATGGCATGCTGTTGTATACCAACGTGAGTGATGACTTCATATAACATCCACTGTTATGTCTATTCATGTCGAGAATACTAAGGATTGTTTTCTTGCATGAGATCATTTTGTTAAAATTGTTAGATTAGTCTTCTTCACTTTCATCGAACGGAACCCATTCTAACAACCCGGTTTGGGGTTGTGAATTAAACTTACACATTTTACAAGGCGAGCATTTTGGCATGCTTGAGCGCGAAAAGTTTTGATTCGAATCGTTCCCACAAATGACCAGATGACTGAAGGTGCGCTGTAGTTGCAACATTTTCGGCAGCACTGTCACTTTTTATGTGCTTACTCCCCATGTTCTATCTCTGGAAAAATGAAGTGTTCGGAAATGCCCGTGATTGTATCTTTGCTCTGTATGGCGATTCAGTCTTGGTAACATGGTAAGCATATGGTATCGGACAGCAGATAGCAATACCTTTCATTGTGGCAGCAGCATACTTTTTGACCATTTTGTTCAGTTACTATGCTGCAATGAGTTCTGGCGGTAGACAACCGGCGTGAGTACCACCGCCGAATTCCTTGACAAGTGGATGTGGTTCACCAATGAAAGCTCCTGGTTATGGTCACCGGTCTGCCTTTTCAGTTTTCTCACCTGTTTGGCCTGAGTTAACTGTTTCTTTATAAGATATCCTGTTCGGCATCGTGGACGGTGTGGATTAGCAGGACCATATTCAAGAGTGAGACGCGCATATTCCCCCGCGTCGCACTTCTTGCACCCCCCCCCCCCTCA